AACTTAAGACATACTAAAAGACAGCTTCCTGTAGTAAAGACTTAAACCCGAAGCTCAGGTGGGCACCTGGTGTCCCAACACAATCTGGTATGGGAAACTCACAATAAGACATTTCCGGCAGTGCCCACACTAACTACACCCTGGAAGTCTTGGCTGGGTGAAGAAGCGTCCTGTGACTACTCAGGCCCACAAACGAGCCACAGGGAAGGAGAGAAAGGCAAATTGTGCTCCCACATTAGCTGGGCATTCCCTTGGTGCCGGAAGAGAGAGGAGTATAAAGAGAGAGACCAAGAATTGTACCAGTAGTCGTTTGCCCTTCACTGAGAAGGCAGCAGGCAGCAGGCAGGCAATTTCAAATATTAACGAATTTAGGGAAGGATTATTCATGCACTTTCTAGAAAATTCTTAGACAACGGAATGAGTCAGAATTCAAAACTTGAAATTGAAAGGCTTTGGTAAAAGCATCCATGGTGAGAATTGACTTTATTTTCACATTATGAAGACTGAGCCAACCTTGATGGTTATAGAGCAGAAACTTGGGCAGTGTGGTCAAGTATAAGCAACCAAACCCACATGTGGGGGAAGTGTGACTACGGTGAATGTCTCCACTTTGTTCAGGAGCAGGTCTCCCAGGCTGACAGTGAAGTTGGAAGAGTCTCACAGTGATGGTTTTCGTTATTTTTTTTTCCCTCAAGTTTAGAAGGATCTTTGAAAAACTAATATCTCTTGGGAAGATTCACTTCCCCTGGAGCTCTGCGGTTCCTACGGTTTCACCTCAATTTCTGTTTTCTCTGCTAAATTCTAGCAAACCTGGTAACTTAGAATTTCTCATTACGGTAACACATATGGTATGAATGCATCCACCCACCTGCCCTCCCTTCCGGTCACCCTTCCGTTCTCACCGTGTGTGTGTGTGTGTGTGTGTGTGTGTGTGTGTGTGTGTGTGTGTGTGCAAATTATACCTGGAACAATATTTACTGTATAATAGTGATGTTTATTTCTGGCCAGTGGGATCTGGGAGGATGTTTTTTAAAACTTCTTTGTACTTTCGATTATTACCTGACCTTTTCAAAATAATAAATGTTATTTTGTTTATATCACACACACACACACACACACACACACAAAAATAAAGTCATTGTTCTTTTAAGAAAGAAGGGTGCCAGGCAGCAGTGGCACATGCCTTTAATCCCAGCACTCAGGAGGCAGAGCCAGGCAGAGCTCTGTGAGTTCGAAGCCAGCCTGGTCTAAAGAGCGAGATCCAGGACAGGCACCAAAACTACACAGAGAAACCCTGTATCGAAAAAAAAAAAAAAGTCTTTTTCTTAAGACAAAGAAAACTTATGTTCCAAGTTTGCTTATTTGTCTTTTGTTATAATCATTTTTAAAATTTTCTTTTTTACTTTCTGTAGGAGACCAGCTCCTGCATTTATTTACCCCAGAGACTCTTGAGGAATGAGGGATAAGAGACTTAGCTAGAAATAAAGAGAGGAGAGAAACAGAGAGAAAGGCAGGGTAGCCTCAGGTGGGCCCAGAACTTTATTCAGAAGGGCTGTTTATAAAAATGCTCCCCCTTGCTAGTAACAGCCAACTGTGACCCTTCCAAACACCTGCACTCAGGCCCCTGGTCCAATCATCCTCTTGTGTAGTCCCGCTGGGTACAGCCACTAAGAAACCTCAGTGGGCTCCAGCAACTTTCTATAGATGTAACTTTTCCCAAAATGAAATTTTTTTCTTAATTCCAAATCTACTTAGTAGCTTGGCAGTGGTGGGCACGCCTTTAATCCCACCACTTGGGAGGCAGAGACAGAAGGATCTCTGAGTTCGAGACCAGCCTGGTCTATAGAGTGAGTTCCAGAACAGCCATGGCTACAATGAGAAGCCCTATCTTGATAAAACAAAACAAAACAAAAACAGTAACAACCAAACCTAACTAGTTATTATTACCCATATTATTTTATTATTGTTATAGCCAAGGAGCCAAATCTGTTTGTCTCCTTTTATTTTACAGTCCTTGAGCTAAAAATGGTTTAAATATTTAAAAAGCATTATATTTTAAGTAGTTACAAATATATATGTATATATAATTGACTTTGCCCCTGACCCCCAGATTGTAAAATATGTAAAATACTACTGGCTCTTTAAGAAAACATTTGCTGATCCTTAATTGAAGAACTGTCATCATAATAACTAGAAGAACTGTCTTGAATTATAGCAAAATCTATATATTTGAAATATTTTAAAGAGCTATTATTTTATTTCCTGGGGTATTTATGGTCCAGCGGTGGATGTGGTCGGGATGATTGATTGTGCCATTCACGGATGGGCTGCAGGATGCCGGCAGCTTTGTAGAGCACTGCCTGCTACAGTTGCTTCTAATATTTCAAGTGCAATGTAAGACCCTTGCCAGTGACGGGGGCCGGAAGACCCTGCCTCCCAAAACATGGGGGTTGCGGAGGAGAGGCCCTGGAAAAACCATACCGAAATTTTCTTCTCACTAGGACTTCAACCTACAGCCAGGGCAGAGCTTCAAGCATGGCTGAGCTGTAAAGCCAAAGCCTGATCAAGCCTTCCTAAAACCCCACACTACCAAGTCCCCTCCAGGTCGTAGGAGCCAGGAAATACCACCGATGGTTAAGTCCTTGAGAAATAGATGTATGTCCATTTGTAGATTGATGTCCTAACTAATGAAATGGTGGTTTTCTTCCTCTAAAAAGAATGTTATAGAAGAGCCCAATGACTAATTTCCAGAATTGTTTAATTTGAGCACATCAAAAAAAAAAAAATCATCGTGAAAAATTTAATAATGCTGTTTAATAACATGGAGCAGGAAGCTGGGAAGAACAGTTATTCTGGATGACTGAATCGGGACCTAAATACATCTGATAGGCAGGAAATCACTGCCAATACAATACTGGAATTTAATAATGCACAAAGGTCTGAACTGCATGGGGACATCTGCCTTAGCTGCACATGTAAGAAAAGAAATTGACTAATCTAATCACGGGATGTGACCATCAAAACTGCTACTGTGGTATCAGGCTGCATCATTGTGAGGGTGAGGTTTGTTGGAACCTGGATGGACTCTTGCATTTGCGTACTATCTGTGGCTAGGGTCACTCAGCAGCAGCTGGGCCATCTGTGACTGGGAGTGTGTAACGCAAATAGCTACTCCTTCCCTGGCAGCAGGCAGTGTGAACTCAGAGCCGGGGTCCTTTTTAAAGGGACATAAACAGACAGAAGTGCCAGCAAAGGTGTGAAGACATTCCCTGTGGGGAGCGAGCATTTGAAGGGCTTAGGACTGAAGAGTGAGCGTATTAGCAATCACGTATTGACGAACTCCATGTTCCGGATCGTTCTGTCCTTCCAGCAGCCTCCTCACCCTTCTGTATAGATGAGGAAACCTCCTCGGAGTAAAAATTTACCTTGTTTACTCCACACAGCTGTTAAGGGGGTGCGAGCCTCGGGAGACAGTGTGGAGACAGAGATGAAGACAGCCTCTCCAAATATTTAAAGTATTTAGAGGGTTTCGGGGGGAGGGGAAGATGCAAGTTTGTTTCATGTGCTTTCAGTCAGCTGTGCAAGTTCCGTGGAGCGCACCGGGTCATCTGCTCCTCTTCCTCTCCAGTGAAGGAGGGGTTTCCCTCCCACCCTCTCTTCCTCTCTGTGAGACAGTAAACATAGCTCACCTTGGACTCACAAGTGCGCCTGTCGCCACCTCCTAAGCCACCCAGCCCACGCAGCTCTGCTTTTCTCTTGGTCCCGCCTTTCATGCTCATGCCTGTGCAGGGCTCTAGCAGCACCGCTCTGTGGATACACAGCTGGCTTGGCCTTGGCCAGACAGGACCTCTTTCCTTGGTCCCCAGCCACTGTGACCCCATCCTCCATCGGGTCCCCTTTCCAGGCCCGTGCCCACTACAGGAAGGTGCATTTCTTCGCGCCTCTTTGATGTTTTTGTCCTTGCACACGGCTCAGAGCTACCCTCCTGTGACTTTCGGCCTTTGCGCCTGTTCTGATTTCCACACCTTTGTCCCACCCAGCGTCGGAAACTCAACAAGACAAAACCCATGCTTACTTGACCCCCATAAACTGTCCTCCATATCCTCTGCGGCTGCTTTGGGAGGGACCCGCTGTCCAGGTCCTCCAGGTCTAGAATTCTGTCTTTCAGATGCCTGGAATCGGCCCGTGCCCTGTTAACTTTTCATTTGTGGAATCGCACATCTCTTTTCTAGTCCCCCTATGATTCCGGAAACATGATCCCTCATTCCTCCTCCTTAGTACTCTGTCTTCGTCCCCCCCCCCCCCAAATGACAGTATCACATCCTTGTGTGAGAAGCTGCAAGTTTCTTATTGGCTGTCTCTTAGTGTCCACAGCAAGTCCCAAAGCTCCAGGCGGCTCTTCCCGGTCTTCCCAGCAGAAACTCTCTGTGCCTACCTCACTAGTCCCATGCTGGCAGCTAGTCCCTGCCTCGAGTGCCCCTCAGTGCCCCTCAGTGCCCCTCAGGCTCTTGTGACCCTCTTCTCTTCACTCAGGCTACTTGCTGAGCGATGGAGTTGTCCGTTTCTAGTTCAAGGCACTCCTCGGTCTACCCCTCCCACACAGTCATTTTTCCTCAGCACCCCTAGTTCTTTTGGACTATTCCTGTAAGGTCGGTTTTACCTTCTTCAGAGGAAATACCTTCTGTGCCCGTATCCAGCACTGACTGTTCCTCCAGGTGATTATGGACTCAAAAGGAAACGAAAATAGTACTGACAACTTGCTAAGTTCCTAGGATGGGGAACCCAAAGCCATGTAGGTTTCCAGGGTCACAAGGCTGTGAATGTTGGCCTAGGATTCGAACCCAGGCTGGGGGAGGCGTCCCTACACTCAGCGTCCACCCACTGTGATGACCATGTATGGTGGCAGTGAGTCCCAAGCCTGTCTCTTCTTGGGAACTGGGGGGCAGCACTTCCAAGCCTGTGTGCATACTGAGCACCCTTCTCATGTGTTTCTTTTCTAGAAGTGATGCTGCTCACATGAGGCATCGTGGGGCCAACCTCACCCCTGGCCAGGACTCGGAGAGAGCGGGCAGGTACTGGGGGCAGTGCTGTGAGCTGAAAACTGTGTTGATAATGTCAGTGTTTGTTCAGAACATGCATGCACACACGCACGCGCGCGCGCGCGCGCGCGCGCGCACACACACACACACACACACACACACACACATCATATATGTGAAACTCTTCATCTTAAAATTTCAGGTTATAGCTAGAAATGAAAAATCCAGTCAATTATTTGGCTTTCACACACACACACACACACATCATATATGTGAAACTCTTCATCTTAAAATTTCAGGTTATAGCTAGAAATGAAAAATCCAGTCAATTATTTGGCTTTCCATCCCATTGAAGTGGTTTTTTTGTTTGTTTGTTTGTTTTGTTTTTTAATTTTAAGGTTTTTGTGTATTATGATGGGTGTGAGCATGGACCACAGCATGCATGCGGAGACCGGAGGATAAACTGTGGAGCTGGTTCTTTCCTCCCACCTTTATATGGGTTCTGGGAACCGAACCTAGGTCGCCCGGCCCCGGCCGGCGTGCAGGTCAAGCATCTTTCTTTCCCCTTTGAGCAGTCTCGCCAGCCCCGTTTTTATTTGCACATATTAATTATAGCTAACAAAGGGTCCCGTGGCATTGTCACACCTGCCCCTGGTGTATTTTTGTCATGTCTCCCCCATCGTCCTCTCTCGCCCCCTCCCACAGACCCTGAGATGATAACACCCTCCGGTCAGCTGTAGTTGAGAAAATCTGCAGCCGGGCAACAGCGCACAAAGTTGAGCACCCCCCCCGTGACTAGCCACGCCCACTCTGATTTGGAACACAAAATGCTGCTGCTCATCTGGGGCTTGCCAAAATACACTTCCTGATTATTTTTAACATTTAAAATATTTCTGCAAATATTTTTAGAGAATATTGATTGGATTGAGCTTTAAAGTGTGAATGGGACGCACCGTGAGGCAGCGGGAAGAACTGCCTTGAAAATCAGGAGCTCTGCACTCCAGAGCGGACCCTGCTGTGTGACCTTGGGCACCTTGGGCTGTCTTCGCTGTTTTCCAACTCTTGTTTCTTGTTATAACAGCGACCTCTTGTGGTCCATATCCTTAACCATTTTTTTCCCCCTCCAGTCAACTTGGGATTTATTTTTTTGGTTCTTTCTAGTGTTATATCTCATACCGTTAAGCCGATAGACCTATGCTCTTGCAGATAAATGTAAATTAGAAGGCAAGGTAGATTGAAGCAGACAATTGAACACCGTCTCTTAAACTATTCTCTGTGGTTTCTTCTGAAGCCCTACAAGAACAAGTTGCAGTTCATAAAAATGAAAATACATTTCGGTTTCATTCTTTCCTCTTCCTCCTAGGGACCAGGGGAAGCGGCCTGCCAGGGCCTCCTCGTGTCCTAGCAGCTCAGACCTGAGCAGGCTGGAAACCAGAGCAGGTGAGATACTCGTGTTCTTGGTCCTCAGCATCCCTCACCCTCTGCATCCTTCACCCTCTGCATCCTTCACCCTCTGCATCCTTCACCCTCTGCATCCTTCACCCTCAGCATCCTTCACCCTCAGATCCTTCACCCTCTGCACCCTTCACCCTCAGATCCTTCGCCCTCTTCACCCTTCACCCTCAGATCCTTCACCCTCAGCATCCTTCACCCTCTGCATCCTTCACCCTCAGATCCTTCACCCTCTGCATCCTTCACCCTCTGCATCCCTCACCCTCAGATCCTTCACCCTCTGCATCCTTCACCCTCAGATCCTTCACCCTCTGCATCCTTCACCCTCAGATCCTTCACCCTCTGCATCCTTCACCCTCAGATCCTTCACCCTCAGCATCCTTCACCCTCTGCATCCTTCACCCTCAGCATCCTTCACCCTCTGCATCCTTCACCCTCAGCATCCTTCACCCTCAGCATCCTTCACCCTCAGATCCTTCACCCTCTGCATCCTTCACCCTCTGCATCTCCATGTAGTTAAGTTGATGGGACTTGTTTTTCAAAGACAAATGTCAGGTGGAAGTCAGAGGCTGAGTCAGGGAGTGTCTAGAGTGCCACACGGCATCCTGATTAACAATTATCTGTTCATCAACTTCAGAAACTAGAACCAACTTGCTCAGAAGTCAACATTTACGTCCTAAGTTTTCGTTATTTCACTTCAGTCTTACCGGTACCCAAGCCTGATGCCTTTTTAGTGTGGACAGATGCTCACAGACATCACAGAGTAAAGATATCTGGAGGCTGGCCAAACTTGACCTCCATGTAGTTCTCAGCTCAAGTTCAAAAGCATTGCCCACTTAAATGAAACTGTAACATTTTATTATGAAAGTCCTTTGGGAGCTTTATTCTGTCTGAGGAAATAGACCGACCAAGGGCTAGAAATGGTACAAAATGTGGCAGTGAGACAAGTGAACCAGCGGGCATTTGTAACACGGGCTGGAGTCAATACAAGCAGCAGATGAAACGTTAAGTTAGGGATCTCAGTACCGCATCTGGAAAGACAATGTTCTGTCACCCCCATTTTGAAGTTGGTGACCCCCAAGGGGAAGGACTTGGACAGGGTAGGCATAAAGAAGGCTTCAGTGCGGCAAGGTTGTAAGTCTTTATAGAAAGAGATAGATACAAATGTAGCACAATGTCAGTGCTGGACCAAGCTGGTCAGGGCTGCACACGTGTTTGCTACTTTATTTTTTCATTCACACAAAAGTTTATGTCAGGCTGGATGAGCAGACATCTATAATCTGGACATTTTGGAAGCAGAGGCAGGATTATGAACTTTGTCTCAACAAAAATAAAAATGATGATAAAAGGCCTCAAGCTAACACTGGTGAAAAGTCTCTTCTAACCAGCTTCTTGTCAGGAAGGAGGCTCTCGGTGCTCACAGGGAATGGGTCTAGAACTCAGAAGAATCAAGTCCTTCCGATTCCCAAGACAGCGCTGTTGCCAAGGCCTTTACATTTGCATGCTAAAAACATCAGCCAATCCTCACATTGTGTCAAGCTGTTGTGTCCAAAACCCAAAGCTGTGGTTAACAACCGTAACCACTGAGGCAGCAGAATCTTCAAAAACAGGCAGTACTTTCTGCCTGACTTACCCAATTTCCTGTTGAATCGTAATTTTTATATTTAGCAAACTGTGAACCTAGATGAAAGTGCTTTTTCAATTTTCATGTTGTTCCCCAAGACTGAGACAAAGAGTGTGTGTGCTTGCACATGTGCGTGAGCGTGCACACACTTCTGTTTCTATAATTAACTGGGGATAGTGTATGGGATGGAGGTGGTGGGGCACTAAAGACAGCTCGGGGACAAAGAAATGACAAGCCACACATAGCCAGACGCAACCACATAATGGAGATTCCTGAGAGAAGCCCTAGAAGAAACCCTGATACACGGTGTGTAGCTAACTTCTCAAAGCGAGTCTGAAAGGTCTCAGAAGGGTCCCGAGGAGGCAGCTAAACTTCCGTGGTTTCTGATCCACCTTGATAAGCGTCTCTTCCTGGGTGAATGAATGTTCACGGAGTCACTCTTCCGAGGCATGAGTTCTAGCTGCCCTTTCTCGAAGCCATACACCACAGAGCTCACTTTGCTCGTTGGGTTTTTGTTTGTGAAGACCATAGAGACTGAAAGTCTGAATTTCTAGTCCCTTTGCTTTTTGGTGTGTGGGAGTAGGTTCACGCTCCCATAATGTCACAGTCAGTGTTGGTGTCTTTTTCTGTCACCCTGCACCTTATTTTTTGAGGCAGAGTTTCTCGCCCTGTATCTGGAGCTCACCATTTCAGCTACACTGAACTGAGCAGTGAGCTCCCAGGAACTGCCTGTCTCTGCTCCCCTCTTCTGGGGTGACAGGTATAACACCATGCCTGGCTTCTGATATGAGTCCTGGGGATCCGAACTCAGATCCTCCAACTTGCAACAGCAGGTTCTTTTCCCACCAAGCCATCTCCCCAGCCCACTTTCTAAGTAAATTTAAGTGTTTCATAAATATGTCAAGGAAATTTATTATTATTGACTTATCAACTTCTGGTTTGTCATTTGCCTTCATACATGTTGATTTTGTTTACATACTTTGGCCTTTAAATAGGTTAGTTACCTAGAAATATGAGCAGCTGTATTTTTATACTGCTTGAATATTCATATTTACTTTCTGAATCATACACATGTTTTACCCAGGCAAACTCAAAAATCCAAAAGGCTGAGGTGATGGTCTACAGCCTTTTATCTGCCGTTCTGCAAACTTCAATGTTCTCAAAGTTCAAATATCTCTCAAACACAGTGACATCAGATGTGACCAGAGCTATAGTGTTGGTCCTGTTCATGTGAGTGTTCATGCATTGCGCTGTAGGGTGCTGCTCAAGAAAGACCCTGTTGTGAACACTGCTTCCTTTCTGAAGTCCAGGCATTTCTGAATCCTGCCCCACACCTGGCCCCTAAAGACAATGAAATCTTGTTTATGGGTTGGCTAGATTAGCCAAAGTCTTCCTGTTTCGGCTACAGTGTGTCTTTACCATTTAACCGTAGTTTAGTTGTCAAGAATTCCGTTTGCTTTGGTGCTCGGGGCTCTCCCATGCTCAGCCTTCCTTGGCCCCAGCAAGGTTTGATAAAGGTAAGCTACACTTGCAATAGGGAGTGGACATTCCCACAATGCAGTGGGGGGGCCTGAGCACTGGAAAGCAGGTGTTAAATTATACAGCTTCCCGGCTTCTCCTGGGAGACATCAGTGCGGTGTGGGGGAAAGTTTCTTATTTGGTGCCTTGAAGAGTCATTTCAGACATCGCTGAATTCAAATTAAAATTTAAACACATGCCATTGTGTGTTATACACATAGTTCTCTTCACTTCATACAGACAGTTGGGAAGAGTTAAGAAGATTTAAAAAAAACTTATTTTTAATTATGCATGTATGTATGTAACTGCATATGGGTATGTATACATGCAAGTGCTAGAGTCCGGAAAAAAAAAAGACACAATGAATAAATCAAGAATTATAAACAATATAAATAAATAAAGATGGTTGTGTGTATAGAATCTTCTGATTGCTCCTCTGATCTCCAACATGTCATGTACATTTTTCTGGCACCAGGTTAGGGGCGCAGAAGGCAGACATTAGAGGGGGAGGCTGAGGAAGGCCCCCATGTGGCCGGCCCACTCCAGCTCCAGTTGGTGATCTGAGATACTGCCTACGCAAGGTGGAATCATGATTTGCCACTTCCTCTATGAATTCTGTTCCATACATGGTTTTCTTTCAGTCTGCTGGCTTGCCATGAAACTGAAGGATAAGGGCAGTGGAGTCCTGTGACCTTAGGGGAATAATTTAATAACCCTGGCTTCTACCTGGATTCCACGTTCTCCATCTTCAGAAGCCAAACAACAGAGCAGGAACATTAGTTGGGTGTGCCAGCTCACACCTGTAATCCTGGGAGGCCGAGGCAGGAGAATCACTGTGGGTTCAAGGCTAGCTTGGGCTACATAGTGAGTTCCAGGACAGAGTGAGACCTTGTTTGGGGGGGGGGGGGAAGGAAGAAAGAAAAACATTCCCCATGAGTCCCTCTTCTGCGTCTTGGATGCAGCCACAGTCCCCTAGAGTGGGTGCAGCACTTGGTGGCATGGTGGTGACACACATCATCCACGACCTGTCTGTTTAGTCAGGGGAAAGAGGCTCACAGATCCTCGGCGTGTGGCCCCCAGGCAGATCTCTGCTTCTGTTGTAACATTTAGCTTTCATAATCCTAAAAGCAAACACTCTCCTTTTTGCTGATGAGGAAGCGGGCTTGGGAGGGTCTAAGCTATAGACAAAGGTCACCCTACATATCAATAATAGACTTGGGGTGGGGAAACCAAGGCATTCCCCTCCCCCACAGGAAAGCATAGCCTTGGTGGTATTTCCTGTGTAGTGTCTTCCTGAAAGGGCTAAGATTTTTATGAAGTGTTTTCAGCTTCTAGTCTTTATGTATGTATGTATGTATGTATGTATGTATGTATGTATGTATGTATGTATACACACATACACACACATATGTGTGTATATAGCTTTCTATTCTATGTTACAGAGGGAAAAGTTTAAGTAAAAAAACTAACTTAAACCAGTTTGCTTTCCTACGGCCAGCAGCCTTTTCAAAGTACTCTACTCCCACTTGTAAATTCTGTCTGAATTAACTCATCCGAGTTTTATTGGGGGCAGTTGGATGAAAAGACCCATGTTTCTCATTAGAGTTGGGACTCAGAGCAAAGTGAGAGTTGACTCTGTTGCTTATTCATTTCAGCCGTGCAGAGGAAAGGCTTTTGAGTGTGCCCTGTGAGTCCGTTTTCACAATGCTTTTTCCTTCTCCAGATTCCTTTGCAGCCTCGAGAGCCAGCTTACAGGAACAGGAGACAGAAATAGAAGTCGATGAAGTCTTTTGGAAAACACGGATTGAGCCGCTTCTGCATGAATTAGAAAAGGGTAAAACAACACTTCTTGTTTTAAATAAAAACCTGGCATTGATCTGTGTTCCCCATGGCCCTGATATTTTCAGTGGACTTGGACCATCATTTCTGTGGATATGCTGGAAACATGTCATGTATTTACTTACCCTGTACGCGTGTGTAGTAAATAATATGTAAACCAAAGTGTTAGTGGTAAAATTGTACTTGGGGTGTCCTGAGAGAGCCAGCCTCTAAAACTCCGCAGTAGTGCACATCCTCCTCTTGAGGAGAGGCCGCTTCAGCCTCTTCAGGGAGACTGTCCACATTCTAGAAGGTCCGGGAAAGCAGATCTCTGGAACTCAGTGGGTCACACAGCCTGGTCAGCGAGAACTATGCGGTGGTTTTGTGGATTCTCTCTCCTCCTGAGGTTGTGTGCCTGTGCCAGGGAGGCCACTCACACAGCTCAAGAAGTGGCCTGGCATGTGTCCTGTCTAGCACTCCAACGGGCCACAAGGAGGAATTCCTGGGAGGACATGGGGAGCTGCCGGGAGGACGCTCCCCAGCCTTTTCAGAATTCCACTGGAGAAGGTGAACTAGAATCCTTGGACCCTGGGCCAGAGCCACAGAGCAAGCCCCATGCTTAGTACCGTGTGCACAGTGGGCCTCAGTAGGACTAATTGAGCAACTGCTCCTGGGTGCATGAGCAGCATGGCATGCACTGATGCAGGGGAAATGCATCCTTACACCTGCACGCAGGGAGCTGGTGCCCAACACCTGCTTCCCCAGCAGCCAGCACTTGCTGGTTTTGTTGTTGTTGTTTGTTTTGTTTTGTTTTTTAGGGTTTTTTTGTTTTGGTTCTGTGCTGCAGCTAGGCTGTACTCTCCATGGGGTGGGTCCTCTGGGCAGGCTTTCTGGCCTGGGTCCTAACACCAGGTGCCTGGTGCTGCATGTAAATTCTGTACCGAAAGATGGGTGAGACCACATCACCTCCAAAGCCCTTTGCTGCTCCAAATTCTGGGAAGACGAATGTAACAACATTTCTCCCCTGGAGTTACTATTCCCACCCTCCTATTAGCTTGGACAGTGAACTTTGGCCATTCCTTCAGCAAATGGGTACAGATCTAGTGAGAAAGGTGAGTCTGGGCAAGGATTAGAAGCCACATCAGAAGCCTTCAGGTTGGCGGCCTGCCCAGAGGGCCGATCTTCCATTGGTAGAGTCTTCAGTGGACGCCCAGCACTCTGCCCACCAGATACCACTTAGAGCAAAGTTAGGACATCACTGAGAGTTTGAGTGTGAGATGCCAGGCCTGTAACCCTTGCACTTGGGAAGCTGTGAGTGTAAGACCAACCTGGGCTCCATAGCAAGAGCCTGCGTCAAAAACAGAGCCAGCAAACAAAACAAAGAAATATCGCCTCTTTGTCCCTAGACAAATTTAAAACCAGCAAGTATCATGGCGTCCGGTTTCCTTGAGACCTTGCAGCTCCTCTGATTTGTCAAGTAGCTAGTTACTAGATTAGTTAAAATAGTTAATAGGACAGTTTTTAAAATCCTGTTTGCCCTTCTCCCATATTCACCGGTACTAATGCTCTACCCACTGCCTCTCACTTCTCTCCATGTTCCTCTCTCTCTGGCCCCTACCTTGCTGCGTGGTTTTGTTTCTAGAACTTTTTGAGAACACATTGCTAACATTTTCAGGGCCAGCCTCCACTACGCAATGAGACTTTGTCTCAAAATGAAACAAAATAAAAACAAAGAAGCCCAAATCCATATTCTTAGCTACTTCAGCCTGTGATTTTCTGTTTGTTAGCTTTAGAAGCAAGCGTGTTCTCCTCCATATCTGGAAGAGACCATACAACACCACACAAATCTTGCCTGTATTTTGCTGATTGTCCCTATGATTTCCTTATTAGAAAAAGAAAGCCCCTGATTCACAAGTTTCAATCATCTGCCACAGCCCTTTCATGATCCTGATACAAGTGAGAAAAACAGGCCATTTATGGTCCAGAACATCCCGCGCATCAGGTTTTCCTCCCCATTTTCTCATGCTGAGACCCAGATCCGGCCTTCGGGGCAGGAATAGCCACACACTTACGAATAGCCGCACACTCACGCTGCATCTTTCTTGTGCCTCATGGCAGGAGGCCCATGTGCTGACCTATCCTTACTGGAAATGTGAATTTGGATCATTTGGGTCAGGTGTTGTCTGCTGGGCTCCGGCTCTGTGTGGCTGCTGGGTTTCCCTTTGTGGCTAAGGGGTGACTTGTGGGGCAAAGCTCCTTGGTAACTAGACAACCCTAGATTACGTTTGAAACTCCTAACTAGCTTCAGCTCTTAGAAAGTCTTTGGGGGCCATGTGCCTTTCTGTTTTGTTTTGCTCTAGCTTCTTGAAACAGTCTCCATGTATAGCCCAGGCTGGCCTTGAACTTGCCATCCTCCTGCCTCAGCCTCCGGAGTGCTATAACGATTGTAGTCAATTGACTGATAGAGAGGGATTACTTGAGCAGTAGTTGAAACTCTGATCCTTGATTCTGGGTTTCCAATTCCTCTGTAAGCTACAACAGCCTTGATCTGAGAACGGCCCAAAGCCTGGACTAGCGAAGAGCGGGCCAGTCGGAGAAGAAAAAAATCAACGTAACAGAAACGCTTCACACAACAGAGCTCAGTCTCCCTCTCTGTCTCAGGCTGGTCTAGGTCCTTTCCCACCAGCTCACTTCTTCAGCTGAAAGGCTTTGGAGGGCACCCGGCTACTGAGGTTTAAACTTTTTCTTAGATGTAATTGTTGAAAAGAGCTAAAAATGTTCTGAGTCACTTCCCCTTGCTGGCGCACACTTCCTCCATGTCGGGGTCTACGCTCACATTATGGTATTTATTTAAGATCGCCTTCCCACTTCTAAGTCTTGTGATGGGGTCCGTCAGAGGCAATGCTTCCCAGCAGAACACGCTGTACCTTGCATTCTTTTATTTCCCCTGTGCTCTCTTCCAGCACTGTTCCCACCCACACCCCCACCCCAAGAAAAGTCACTGGCCCCGGGATTGCAGCTCTAAAACAAAATGTTCTTGTCTCTCTCTTTCCTAATTAACATCTTTTTAAAAGTCTCCTCTTCGATAATAATGATGGATGTTATTACGCCTCTTTTCCCTGAGGAGTCCTTTTGAAAGGAACATACCATTCATTGTTTTCATCAACAGATACATTAGAAGGCTAGCCCGCCTGGGGTTAAGTTGTGGACTCGGGGTATTCTTGCTCTACCATGCGGGTGTGCCGATCAGGATCCCAACTCACTTATAGCATCCGTCTGTACGTAGCACAACACACCTATTCACACGTGAACCATAAATAGCACTACAGGGTAATATTGGTTCCTTTGGAGTCACACAACTTGTTTGAAGAAATGGAGGCAGAGATGCAAACGGCGGGCCTCAGTGAGACTGAAGGACAGGAGGCCAGGGGAGAGGCTCTGCAAGGCTCTTGTTCTAGATAAGCGAAGTGACTGGTTAGTAAATATGTTAACCTAGGAGGTTAGTAAATATGTTAACCGCGGAGGATGAAAGCGCGATCGTGTTCTATTTGATAACACATGGCGGTGATGGGAGAAAGGAGAATGGTCCCTGGGAGTTTGAGGATGTCCAGGGAATGCCCAGGGGGCTCCCTTCTCCCTACGCTGCCTGTGTTTGGCGTATCTGAAAACTCAACCGTGATGAGTAAGTGGCGGCTGCTCTCTTTGCTCTGACAGAAGACATCGAGGCCGTGTGTGCCACTTGCTCGCAGCTCCATCACGCGTTGGAGGAAGGGCGCATGCTCGGCAGGAAGTTCCAGGGAAGAAGCGTCCTGCTGAAGACCCTGTATAAACTGGTGGATGCTGGCTCGGACTCGCTCAGCCTCAAGCTTGCCAAACTCATCCTGGCAGTAAGTTTGTCTTCCTTTTGTTCCAGTGGACGGCCCTCCGTCTGCGCTTTGTGAAACGCTTTGTCTGTACACATCGCAAAAAGATGAAAAAAAAAATGTGATGTGTCTGTTTAGAATCTGGAGGAAACTGAGGCAGTAAGCTTGCATCCCAGGACGGGACTAGACCGCGTTTCCTGAGGGATAAGGCTGAGCAGCACATAGGGAATATCCCATCAAGCTTGCATCTGGGCTGGGCCTAGAGTCTATTTTAAAAGGAAGAGAGAGAACAGGAAAGTGAGAGAGGAAGAGGGAAGAAAGATTTACAACATCAGACCCATCCAGTTGCTCAAACAGTTAGATTGAGCACGGTTTGGGACTGTGTGGGCTGTCGTCTTCGTCTGTGGTTTCTGCTGGGAGCCCAACTCTGCCTTATGGTTTAAGAAATAAAGACCATGGCCAGGTGCTTTGTGAGCTAGTGTGAAAGAGGAACCCGGCGGCCTGTGGTCACAGAAAGATCCCTTTCTGCAAAGTGTTAGAAGAAAAGGCAGATACCTGCAGCAGCTCAGCCCAGAACAAAACCTGCTGGGCAGCTTTGTTGTACAGCCGTAAACAGTCAGAACCAAACGACAAGCCGTAGCCACTCTGGAATGTTCTAAGAGAGCATCAACAACAAATGGATGATGCTCCATTTACCTATGAAAGTAAATGCCCACCCCATCACTGGTACAAGGGAAGATGGGAGATCGGACTGAATGACGGAGGGGAAGCCCCATGTCCTAATAGTGCAGTGAACACGTCCATTTCATCTTATTTTGATAATGAAGTCTTTCATAAGCAGAATATTCTAGTCACATTTTTTTGTGTAATTTTGGGTGGAGTCTACACCCTTACTTAGCTCTCATCATAAACTATCCATTCTCTTTTTAGAAATCAGGGTGTGTGACTCAGTGCAGTGTGCCTTTGAAAGAGTAATTTCATTTTAGGGATCTGATGATGGAGTTGTCCCAGGGAGGACCCAGGCTGCCAGTACCCAGGGACTGACTTTACCTTTTCCACAGTGAAAATATTACCACAGTTTCTGGTGGTGTTGTGCAAAACATTTGGTGTGTGTGTGTGTGTGTGTGTGTGACAGTTGAACTGACTTAGGCCTTCTGAACTGGATGTTAAGTGGGTAAAACTTAAGTAGGTAAACAATGCTGCCTGTCGCACAGAATCTGGGTGAGGTTAAGTTCTGATGCGGGGCTATGTGAGTTGGTGCCTCCTTTTGTTTTAATTATTTTATTTTATTTTATTTTATGTTTATGAGTGTTTCCCCTGCACGCACGCACGCATGCACGCGCACACACACACACACACACATACGCGTGTGCACTATTATGTGCTTTGTGCCCGTGGAGACCATAAGATGGCACCGGATTCCCTAAGACTGGAGTTACAGGTGGTTGTGAGCCATCTTGTGGGTGTTGGGAACTGAACCTGGATCCTCGGCAAATGGCAGCCGGTGTTGCTAACCACTGAACCATCCCCCTATGCCATGTTGGTGCCTCATTACTCACTCTGGAGCCCCCGGGTCAGAAGGGACTGTCAAAGCAATGGTTTCCCACTTCCTGTCGGCTGCTTGGGTCTACTAGAACATCACGGAGGAGATCCTGTTTCTATGAGGCTTCAGGACACGGTTCTGTATAAATCCCCGAGACACCGTCTCGTAAGAACCGTGGAAGGAAAATGAGCAATGGCTAAAGATATACAGAGCCCGAAGTTCTACACTGAATTTCTTCTTCTTGCTGCTGTTTTTCTATCCACCAGTTTGATATTACAGCTCAACCATTTAACAGTATTTACTTAAAAACATGCAATAAGCCTGTGAATTGTTCCAAGTTCTTGAATTCTTTGGCTCAATAGAGATCTGCCAGACCGCCATTTTAATTTTAATCCCTGTTCTTAAAAACCTTATGAAAATATGTCAGTCTGTATTAAGCATGTTCAAAGATCACAAACATACTTAGTAGGAGTGCGACTATATTCTGGAAATGTAAAAATCCAGCACCCTTTGCAGAGGGGCAACAATCAGAAAGAAATGCCCAATGTGTCATTGGTGATTAGTTATAGGGGAGGACAGAAATGATTTCAAACTTCTCTAATTTGGAAAACAAACAAACAAAACAAAACAAAAGCACCATTTTTAATGTAAGAAGAAAACCACCCTACCTGGAAACCCTGCATCGTCAGGAATTCGTCCTAGCCCTGGGAAAACCTGTAACCAAGGCGGCCAAACTCCGGGATCCATCACTGAACTCTAAGGAGGACTCAGCCAGCCAGCACCTCTGGCCTCCACAGTGCTGGGCACAATACTCCTCGCTGCTGGTGTTCTGAGGGAACGCAGACACTTGTTTGGTTTTTTTGTTATTTGATTTTGTTGTTCTCTGCTGCTTTTCACTACGAGTGGAAGGTGGGGGATGGGCGAGCTGCGTTCAGTTCATTCACTGGGGCATTTCGTGAGCTGTAGAGCACAGGGTACCCACCACACTCGGACGAGCTGGTCAGAGATCTCAGCCTCCCTCCCGGTAGTCTGCCCGCACACCACCCTTGCCTAAATGTGGAAAGGCTTTTCTGTTAGCTTCAGTCACACACTGGCTGGGCTATAAAGCCAGGTTGATGTAATCGCTGTCTTAATTTTCAAGTCCCGTTTCCTTTTTCTTCCTGAGAGTAGAAGGAATCTCTGCTCTGTCCTGTGAGTGCCCTGGGGAGTGGTTAAGATGCAGGCAGGCTCTGACAGGAGTGTGGGGGTGGGGTGGGGGTGGGGAGTGGCGGGGGGGGGGGTGGGTGGGGGGGGGGGGGGGGGGGGGACAGAACACTTGGTGGGAGACCGTTCTGCAGGTGGGATCCGGGCCCCCTCTCTCTCGCAGAGCAGGGATGATACCTAATGCACAAGGTTGCGATCACTGTGCACAGCCCCGGAGCAGAAGCAGTAGGTGGAGATGCTCAGCTTGGCTCCCTCCCTCTGCCTCAACAGCCACAGACAACCTGCTCAGCTTTCTGTCTCCCCCAGGGAACAGCTCATACCAGGAGCAGTTAAGTGCTCAGTGGTATTTGTGGATCTAACAGATAACTCGCACATACTCTGTCATCTTTTAAAAAATTAACTAAAAACTCAACAAAAATATTAGCGATAACTTTTTAAATAGTAAAATAATAACTCTTGTGCCTTCATTTTCATACAGAAGTCTTTATTTGTTCAGAGGACCCCATTCCTACAGACAGGTTTCCACACTGTTGCAGAGGGCACACAATACTTTCACCTGACCCAGAAATTATAGGTGCTTTTCTTTGTAAGCCTGATGGCCTGAGTGTGAGCCTCAGAGCCCACGTGACAGAGGGAACCAGTTCCTACAAGTTGTCTTCTGGCTTTTACACATTCACAATCACACGCACACATACACACTATCACACACACACACACTCACTATCACATGCACTTACACACACACACACAAATAAACAAATATAAAACAATATAATAGGAAAGAGTGTTGTGTGGGCCCAGTGGCATACATACCTTTAATCCCAGCACTCAGGAAGCAGGGGCAAGTGAATCTTTGTAAATTCAAGGCCATCCTGGCTTACACAGTGAGACCCTGCCTCAGCAAAGCAAAACAAACAAAAAACAAGTTGTATTCTTTTGGGGGGTGCTTACTTAATTTGAATAGTTTTGCTCTTCTACAGTTTATTAGGCTATTCCCCATTACTGACCATTCTTTACTAGAGATAAACGTGCAGCTGACCTTGGTTCTGCTGCTCACTCTATTTTTTTTTTTTTTAATAAAAGAAAGCGCCTTGTGTTGAATTGACGTAGATATTGTTGTGTGGTTTAGAGAGGAATTTCAGCTCCAAACAATGACTATCTCAAAAGCATTCCAGAAATAGCCCCACGAATAAGCACAGTGCGGTCTAATCCAAAGTATTGGTTTTAATTCTTTGATGTAAATGACAGAGGGACAGGTTTCCTTTGTGTGGATTCTTTTCTAGATGAGTTTAATCTGAACTTTGATATCTATCATCCTTTCTAAATCAATTACTCCATCTAAAGGCACACTCCTTAAAAAACATCTACTAGTTTACACATCAGTGTGAAACATTTCATAGCGAGAAACAAACCCTTCTTATTAAAGCGTTTGTGTTCATAGAACTCAGCTAGATATTACAGCTGATGCATAATGTGGCCCAAACTTGTAGTAGGATGTTATTTGAAGGCGTGTTGCTTTTGTTTATGTTGCATTTGTTTAACTCTGTGAAGCTGTGTTACTGTGCCTGACTAAAACACCTGATGGTCTAATAAAGAGCTGAATGGCCACTAGCTAGGCAGGAGAAAGGATAGGTGGGGCTAGCAGGCAGAGAGAATAAATAGAGGGAAAAAACTGGAGTGAGAGGAAGGTGAAAATAATAATTAAAAAAAGATCTAGAAGCCAGAGAAGGAGGAGGGTTCCAGGGGCCAGCCACCCAGCTACATAGCCAGCCACGGAGTAAGAGTAAGATTTACAGAAGTAAGAGAACAGGAAAAGCCCAGAGGCAAAAGGTAGATGGGATAAGTTAAGAAAGGCTGGTTAGAAACAAGCCAAGCTAAGACCAGACATTCACAATTAAGAATAAGCCTCCGTGTGTGATTTATTTGGGAGCTGGGTGGTGGGCCCCCCTAAAAAGAGTAAAATACCAAAAACAACACAAACTTTTCTAGGTTCTGTCCTTAGAACATTTATGTTTGAAACCCTCTTCCTGGGCTAAGTGCTTAGGTTTTAGAGGTTTCGAGCCTGCCTTTACCTCTGCCATAGAAATGCAAGCACGTTCTTTCTCTGCAGCTAAAAGTGAGCAGGAAGAATCTTCTGAATGTCTGCAAACTGGTATTTAAAATCAGCAGGAGTGAGGAGAATGACGTCCTGCTGCAGAATGACAACATCCTGGGTGAGTCTTGTCAGCGCTCCAGAGGCGAGGATGCCGCACCCTAGGACAGATGCCGAGTCTGTCCGTCCGTAGAGGAAAAGGACAGTGAAGGGTAGCAAGGCATCTAGTTTCTAGGAAAATGTGGCTGTTGTCTTTCTCTGTTTTTCACGTTTGCCTTAGAGCATCACCGAGAGTCTGGTATCACAGAGTAGGTCTTGGTTTTGCTTCTTCAGCGTGTGTAGGGATGTCGTGTGACTTGAGGGGAATCACTGTGTGAAAAAATCGTTTCCTAGGCCTGGAGTTACTGTTAGAATAGACACACCTAAGAGTTTTTGACATAATCAAAGATTCTAGTTCCCTTGATATAACAGGAGTAAACAAAAAAGAATCGGAGAGACAGTGTGACTATTACGGAACACTGATGTGGACACGGTTCAGTACGGAGCTACAGACATTTCACCCACATTCTCAGCCCAGCTAACAATGCCCAGTCCCCAGCATGTCCCTAAATAACTAACTAGACAGATACCCTGCCTGGAAACTTTTAGGAGCTTTGCTGTTCCTGCAGAAGAGGCAGCTGTGGAAATCATAGGTAACAGGGGATGAAGATCTCAGCACACAGGGACTAAACCGAGGCTGAAAGAATGTCTAACATCTGCAAATTACAGATCAGAACAAAGGATTCATACGGTCCCTTTGACATGCTCGTACTTGAACCCGCTCAAATCATCTGCATTCTGGGCCAGTCAGTCAGTTTTTGTTGTTGGGTTTGTTTGTTTGTTTGTTTGCTTGTTTTGTTTGTAGAGACAAGGTCTCTCTCACTCCGAGCATAGCACAGGCTGGGCTCAAGTTTGCTGCCATCCTTCTGCCTCAGAGTCCTTAATACTGAGGTTGCAGGGGAGGGGCTACCCACAACCCCCACACTTCCCCTGAGTGCTCTTGAGTGGGAGCAGTAGGAAATATTAGAAGGATTTAGAGTGTGGAGATAAACAGATAAAAAATACAGGATAGCCTGGAGAGGGCCTGGAACCTATTCCATTGGGCCCTGACTGTCTCTGCCCTAGGATATTTATAGAAATGCCAAGGGGTGGAGCAAAAGACCTCCCCCTAGCACAGCCAAGTGCAGACCATCTCAGACACCTGCACTCAGGCCCGTGGTCCAATCACCCCCTTTATGCAGACTTGCTGGGTAAAGCCACGAGGAAACCTGCTTAGGGAGGGGGGGCGGGCATTCTTAAGCTGTTTTGGGAAGGGTGAATACTATGTCCAAAAGATCCTTCTCAGTAACAGGTTGATTTCAAAGTTCCCATGTGATCCATGTCCCCTCAGGAGAGCAACAAATACATTCTTCAAGATTTGTTGAAAATGTAATTCTTAGAGGGCCTTTGTCACAGGTATTCAACAATAACTTGAAATTTTTATAACTTAAAAATAAAGTCTGGTAAATATTACTAAGAGCCAAGGAATGGCGTCTGAAAGAAGGCGTTCTTTTTTGCATGTGAACAACCTCTTCTTTCGTGCTCCTCACTATTGCGGAGTTCTGTGGTAGCTGAGACTTCCCTGCTTGAGGAGGAACAGAGAGCGTCTGCACGTAGCTTTCGATGAATGTATTTTACAAAGTGTGTGCCATCATCACGTTTGCTGCCATACTCGGACATTTATAGAAACTCCTCCTTTTGGCAGAATCGCTACTGGAGGTGCTGAGGGGTGAAGACTTGCAAAGTAACACTGAGGCTTTTTTGTACTGCATGGGGGCTCTGAAATTCATTTCCGGGAGTCCGGCATTTCTTCCCGAGATGATCGGCAAAGGTGCCGTGGAAATATTGACAAAGTTGATACGGCAAACGAGCGAGGACACAAAGAAACGCGGCGCGTGCCTGCCTAACGCAGGCAACTTGCTGGTCCAGGTGAGTGCTGTACTTGAAAAGGTCAGAGATGCGAAAGGCGCTAGCTTCCTAACCCCATTTAAAGTAGCAGATGAGAAGAAGCCTTTGCATCAGGAGGGGACCCAGGGTCTCAGAGATCAAGGGTAACGGCCGCTGGCCAGTCAGTGTGCGCTCTGTTGAGACTAGTCCATGACTTTGGCAGAACCTTCCATATTGTTTGCAGATAACCACCCCCGCTGTCCTGCAAAGGTCTCAGGGCTGAAAGCCAGGCTTGGTGGTGTGCACCTGGAATCCCAGGACTTGAGAGGAGCAGGAGGGGTCAAGACTTCGAGGTCGTTCTCAGCTAAGTAATGAGTTTGAGGCCAGTATGGGCTTCTTGAGACCAAGGATAGGGAAGGAAGGAGGGAGAGAGGGAAGGAGGGAGGGGAGGCCGGAGCTGGGCCTGATGCGGGGGTCTGTTAATTCCAGCCAATCAGGAAGCTGAGGCAGGAGAATTGAACATAATCCAGGCTCTTTCTCAAATAGAAAGTAAAGAGAAAGCTGACAAGGAGGGCGAGGGAGAGGCTGAGGAGGTAGGTCGGTGGTAGAGTGCCTAGCATACTCAACTAGCACCCTAGTTTCCATCGAATAACAGTAACAAAGATGGAGGCATGGGATTTGTGGGAGCCCAAATTACTCAGGGTCAGAGAATCTGAGCTTGCTTTACCCAGCAGGGCTGCATAAGGAGATAATTTGGCCACAAGAGTGGTTACCAGGTGTTTGGAAGGGTCTGTGCATGGCTGTATGATGTGCTTTGATCTTGCAAGGGGGAGGTCTTTTGCCCCTCCCCTTGGCATATTATGAAAAGCCCTTTGGAATAAACCTCAAGGCTGTTGGGTATTGACCTGGGCCCTCCCGAAACTATCCCGTGTCTCTGTCTTTCTTCTCATTGGCTCGGTCTCTCTTTCTATCTGATGTTTTATTTTCCCTCTCCCACCTAAGAACCCTTCAATAGGTGGGAAAGGTCAGAGCTGGACTCCCCAGCAGTCTCCCACAGGGAATGGGAAGTGTATGTTCTTTGCACATCAGTTACATACAATGCTGAGAATTTCCAGGGCAGACACTGAGATTGTTTATAACTGATAGTCAAGGACACATCTCTGGTCTGCAATGACAGAGGAGTTTAAGATACTGGATGAAGTTCTGTCATAAGCTCTGCAGATGCCACACAGCTCTGGGGACCACGGGAACTCAGGTAATAAAACCAGGTATAATTCATCTGGCCAGAGCAGGAAGAAAAATTTTCCTCTGTGTTATGGAGTTTTATTACTGCTCTTGTGACAGATTAAATTTCACAGTTAAATTATTTCCACCAAAATCTCTCTAGTTCTCATTTTCTTTTGTAGATGAGATTTTTACCCTTAATAGCATTTATATATCAAATAATAGCATCTTTGATGTAATAAGTCATGGGATCTGAAATGTGCTTGTCAATTAACAAGGATGGATTGAACCTTTACAGTGCTCTAAATCTTTGGGAGAGCATGTTAAAAATTAGATTTACACCCTGACTTCAAGATCCTTAGAAATTTATGATGATTATTAATTTTAGATTTTTGTCCTCCATTTTGAAAAAGATTATAAACAAAGCAAAATCCCACTGGAATGCTGTATTTCGTAAGGGGGGCTTATGAAACATTCTTTTCTTTTCTTAGATTTGTTTTATTTATTATATATACAATGTTCTGCCTGCATGTGTGCCTGAATGCCAGAAGAGGGTGCCAGATCTCATTATAGATGGTTGTGAGCCACCCTGTGGTTGCTGGGAATTGAACTCAGGACCTCTCAAAGAGCAGTCAGTGCTTTTAACCTGACCCATATATATCTCCAGCTCATAAAGCATTCTTTCCATGTTGACAATGTTTTGGATCATTTGTGGCTTTTTTCTTTTTGAAAATAGTTATTTCTGATTATATAGCAATGATCATTTCTGCTAAAATGTAGAAAATATAAGGAAAAGTATAACAGTCATCTGAGCTATGTGTGGTAGCACACAGCTGTAATCATGACACCCGGGAGGCTGAGGCAGGAGGATCATGAGCCTATCTCAAAGCAAAACAAAAAATAACTTGAGATATTTTTATCCTGAGCTATATGGACATACCTTCAACATTATAGTGTCATATATATACATACATACATATATATATGTATATATAATGTAATATATATTACAGATAGAATTGTATATAACTAAATCTGTATTTTGTTTCTGAGACATGATTTCTGTACATAGCCCTGGCTGTCCTGGAACTCACTATTTAGACCAGGCTGGCTTCAAACTCAGAGATCTGCCTGCCTCTGCTTCCTGTGTGCTGGGATTAAAGGCGTGTATTAAAAGTGTGCATTAAAGGTGTGCCCGGCTCTACTCTGTATTTTTAATAGTCGATTTGTTTCATGTCACCTCTTCTCTTTTGGTTTCTTTATTCAGTCAGCTTATATTGTTCACATCTAGTACTTTTTAATTTATATATTTAGTACTTTTTAATGATCTCATAGGTTTAAAAAAATGGGACAGTAAAAAATCTCTTGCATCATCTCTGTAAACTTATTTGATACTTTTTCCTCCCTGTGATAAGGATATACCTCTGTGGTGGTTTGAATGAGACTGGCCCTCACAGGTCATAGGTTTGAATACTTGGTCCCCAGTTGGTGGAAGTGTCTGGGAAAGATTAGGAGGTGTGGCCTTGTTGGAGAAAGTGTGTCACTGGGGGTGGGCTTTGAGGTTTCAAAAGTCTACGCCAAAGCCGGGCAGTGGTGTCACATGCATTTAATCCCAGCAATTGGGAGGCAGAGGCAGGTGAATTTCTGTGAGTTTGAGGCTAGAATGGTCTACAGAGCGAGTTCCAGGACAGCCAGGACCGTTACACAGAGAAACCCTATCTCAATAATAAATAAATAAATAAATAAATAAATAAATAAATAAATAAATAAATAAATAAATAGTCTATACCAGGCCTACTGTCTCTCTCTCTCTGCCTGCTACCTGTGAATCTGGATGTAAAGCTCTCAACTACTGCTCCAGGACCATCCCTGGGGTTACTGTGTCTGAGCCGTCACCACGCCAGCTGTGGGTATCATAGACACACTCCCCCACCCCTGCCCACTAGCTGTGGGTACCGGGTACCACGGACACACTCCCCCACCCCTGCCCGCTAGCTGTGGGTACCACGGACACACTGTCTACCCCTGCCTGCCAGCTGTGGGTACCAGGACACACTCTCCACCCCTGCCTGCCAGCTGTGGGTACCGTGGACACACTCTCCCATGCCTGCCCACTAGCTGTGGGTACCAGGACACACTCTCCACCCCTGCCCACTAGCTGTGGGTACCACAGACACACTATCCCGCGCCTGCCCTGTGCTTTGGTGTCAATGATTAGTGTCCTGCAGTACATTCACCTCTCTGTCACTCTCATTCCCCAGGCTCTGGCCTCCACTGTTCCTTCTGCCCCAAGGTCACTTATTCTCCGCAGTCCCAACCCAGGAGACACACTGTGCCCATGAATCTTACCTCCCAGGACTCCCCCACAGAATCTCACCACCCCACTCCCCTCTACTCTGTACAGCATTCTCCAAGTACCTAACTTATTTTCAATTTGAATATTTAGCATCCTTTTCTCTTGACTCCAGTTTCCCAAAATCCTCCACACACCTCGGGTCCAGCAGCAGGTGATTTCCCTCCGTTCACCTGTATCCTTAGGGAAACAGGAGGACTTTAGGCCTGTGCCAGAGCCCACTGTGTGTACATCCGATAAAAAGGCCCCAGAGAGGGCGTCAAAGTTTCTACAGCGCTCTGGTCCAATGGTGCCTGCTGGTGTCATGTCCCCTCCGCCCCCCTCCCCCACCCCGTGTTTTCTGGCTTAACATACCATCTTGTTATTATCAGAGCCTCAAGTGATATATTTTTTTCAATAGAACAAAGTTGTTTTTCAAAATGCCTCGTACTGGAGTTAGCTAGTTCTGAAGTCTGGTGTGTCTGCTCCTTGGCTGAAGCCAAGGAATATTCAATTCACAAGTGTCTGTGGGTGGCTGTTCCGTGACATGCTTGGATGCGAGGGTACTGGTCATAGGACATCCACCAGCAGGGATAACTCTTCATTAAATCCCTACGACCAGAGAAGAGTCACCCATAATGTATACATTTCCACACGGCCAGTGTTCCATCTGTGCTGTGTATCAGACAGACACACGTCATATAATTTTGGCATTTTGACAATATGAGGGCTTCACCCGTGCTCTGAAGATGGAAGTTGGTAGAATCACAGTTAAGCTATAAACTGTTAAAGTCCAGAGTACACGGAGTAAGGAACACAGGCTAGCTGGAAGGCCAGGCCCCTTAAAGCCTGTAGTAAATTACCTGCCCCAGGGGAGCAGCAGAGAGAGGAATTAGCCAGTGTTGATCAGCAGGAGGCTATCATGAGGTGCTGGGCTTCATCTTTATCTCTAAAGGACAACCTTTGGGATGGTGTAGCCTTAGAACTGAGGGAAGTCCCTGAGTTGCCTTTGTCAGAAACACTGACCTGTAGCCGAGTGTGGTGAGGCTGGTGTGTCCCTAACCTCAGCCTGTGGGAGGCTGAGACAGGAGAAATGTGAGTTTGAAAGCTGAAAAGAAATAAATAAAACTTCCATATTTAACTAAATGTAAATTCATAAAATGTTGCAAAAATTGTAAACCAAGGACCCAAGTACCCACCATGAGGTCCCAAGTACCCACCATGAGGTCCCAAGTACCCACCATGAGGTCCCAAG